TCCTTTTTTCCTAGCTTTGCTAGAGGTTTGTGAATTTTACTGATCCTTTCAAGGAGTCAGCTTTCCATTTCATTCATTTTCTTTACTGTTTTTCTGTTTCAATTCCATTGGTTTCTGTTCTGATCTTTATTATTTCTTCTCTTCTGCTTGCTTTGGGTTTATTTTGCCTTTCTCTCTCTTTTTTTTTTTAGATTCTTAAGATAGGAGATTAGATTATTAATCTGAGATTTTCCTCTTTTCTAATGTACACATTTTAGTGCTACAGATTTCTCTTTTGGTACTGCTTTACCTGTGTCTCACATGTTTTGAAATGTTATATTTTCATTTTCATTCTGTTAAATAAATGTATTTTTAAAAATTTCCCTCAAGAGTTCCTCTTTGATTCATGGATTATGCAGGGGTTTGTTGTTTTGTTCCAAGTGCTTGGGAATTTCCTGGTTTTCTTTCTGTTATTGATTTCTAATTTGATTTTATTGTAGTTGGAGAAGATGCTCTGTATGATTTCAATTGTTTTCAATTTGTTCGGATTTGATTTATGAAATCCATGGGCATTTGAAAAGATTGTGCATTCTTCTGTTTATGGGTGGACATAGATGTCAATTACATCCTATTGGTTGATGATGTTCTTGATCCTTGCTGGTTTATCGTCTCATTGTTCTAAAAGTTCTTAATAGAGGGGTATTGAAGTCTTCAACTATAATTGTATGTTTGCCTATTTCTCTGTTCAGTTCCAACAGCTTCTGTTTTACATAATTTGCAGCTCTCCTATTTGGTGCATTATACATTAGTCTTTGGGGTATGTGAAAGTGTTCCCTTCTGTCTGTCCATTTTCTTTGATCTGAAGTCTACTTTATCTAATATTAATGGAGCCACTCCTGCTTTGTTTTCAACAATGTGTGCAAGGTATATCTCTTTTTTCATTCTTAAACTTTCAACCTGCCTATATCATATATTTGATGAAGGACCCTGAATACAAATGACTGATAATGTATGAGGCTTAACAGGACAGTCTGAGACCTTAGAAATATGCTCTGGCTCCAAGTGTGGTGCTGGAGCAGGAGAGAGCTAAAGGGAGTGTTCAAGTGTGTAGAACAGAGCTATCCCATCTATGGACATGTTGTGCATGTTGCTGTAGGTGGTAGCTCTGGGAAGGGACACTAGAAACCTCTGTGGACAGAAGCATATAAACCAAAGGACTTCCTCCCACTCCCAGTCATCACCACCTACACACAGCAATGGCATGGAACTCTTGGAACTTTGACCCTACAAAGGAGTGGGGAAAAAACGTTAAGGAAAACTGAAGCCTTGAAAGTGAAGTAAAAAGATGTGCTGATTCAGGGCCTGTCTGTCCTCAGATGCATGTTCTGTGCCCTTCCCCTATTTGCCTCTGTGTTGCAGAAGGGCTAACCCCAAAGGGTGTTTCCCAAGTTCTCAGGATGGCTGTGATCTAGGTTTGGCTGAATGTCAGGCACTGGCAGGAGATGAGAGGGCACGAGGAGAGGAAAATCAATGTACATTTTCCCCCCTTCCCTTGCCACAAATGACTTCTTTGACAGTAGCTGTTTCTCTTCCGTGGCCGCAGCTTCCAGGCTGGCCATACTGCCAGGCCCCTGGGCTCCAGTACCTCTGTCTCCTCCCTTTACTTCTCCAGCTAGGGGCCATGCTTGTTAATTTCTGGATTACCTCACCAACCCCTGCTTAGCTTCTGAGTCCTTCCATTCTCTGTGTTATTGTTTCCTTGCCCTGAGTTGTCTGTTTGTAAAGACTTGAAGTCGTCTCTATTTTCCTGGTTAGCCCCTGATGGAAACAAATGGGTTTAGAGCACGGGCTGTAATGTGGTATTTCTTACACACTTGGCTTTGTAGTTTATATCCACTATGTTATTATCATCAAATCTAACTATCTTGTTCTCTCAAGCTGGCTGTTTGCTAAGTGGCACTGTTACATTCATATAGAAGCCTTCTTGGGCAACCATCATTTTCAAATGATTTTTCTGGGAAGGGTGGCTTGAGGCAAAGATGGAATTCACACAAGGGATCTTTGAGATGGAGTGTTGGACTCCTCAGAATCAGGCCTTTCGGATCACAAGGTCTTTTCTACATTTGTCCCTATTGTTTATAAGCATGGCTTTTTTTTTTTTTTTTATAGATTGACTAGATCTTCATAGAACACAAAAAAGATCTGGGAGGAGCTTCTGCATTCCCCACCTCCCCTCAGCCACAGCCCCTACTAAGCCACAACAGATCCGAATTAAGGCAGTACCCAGTTGGGGTACTGAGGGGCCACACATAAAGTTATTATCAGTCATTAACTGCCTCATGAACTGGCTTAATAGGTAGGCGTTCTATGTGATACTCAAAAACTGACTGAAATTTTGATGCAGTGAGGAGTTAAAGGTAGGATGGAAGCACCACCCAGAGAGTAAGGCAATTTGGAGACAAAGCCCTTTCAAGATGGCTAGCCTGGAGCCTAATAAAGCTAAGGCCAAAGAACATTGCCAAACTTTCAGAGCAAAGGGCAAGTACAAGTCATTCTTCTGGAAGGTTATAAGATTTCAGACAGGACAGAATAAAAGGAAGTTTCCTAATATAAAATATACAATATTTTGGAAGTGGTTTTATGAGAATGATTATCAGAACAAAGCACCACTGTGTCAACAATCTGAAATAACTTCCAATTCACTGTTGTGTCAAACAAATTATAATCTGAAATAATTGATGCAAAAAAAAAATCCATTCATTTACTTATTCAATACATAGTATATTGTGCCCGGTTCTATATTTGAGAAGTTACATACATATCTATGTTGGAAATAAAGTAATTTATGTTTTCTAAAATCGTTCTTTAGAGAATATTCTTCGAAGTGTCCTCCTCCTCCCTCTTCTCCTCTATCCTCCCAAACTTACTTCAGGGCACATAGAGGTGATATAAAATGTCTTCTAGGGGAGAAGCCGGCAGGCATCACTCTGTTGAAATACGGGTGTTCAGATTTACTTGCCTTTATATTATCAGAGGCATATGTAGATTTTGAAATATGTTTGAATCAATATTTATTTAAATTTGTATTAATTTACACCAAATTTATGCCTTTTATGTTCAGATAAAGTATTTTGTTAAAAAAAAAAAGAAACAACAGTAACAACAAACTCTCTTGGATTGAGACTGAAACATAAATTAGCAACATTTATAAACCATTTTGTGGTTTCACTCTTTGGGTTCAGACTCAGCTCAGGCACTAAGTAGGTGTGTGACCTCGTGGAAGTTAAATTTTCCAAATCTTTAAAATGTGGATAATTGGTCACATCCTTACAGAAGTGAGAGGTGTAAATTTGGAAATGCATGTGAAAAGGCTTGGCACATGGTGAGAGCTAAGCAAATGTCATATTCTTATCGCCGAGTTTATTAACTTGTTTGGCAGAGGAGATGCACAGGAATTGAGAATAGAAAAGTCTGATCAAGGAAAGAATTTCTTACAAGAATGGAAAAGATCAAGTCTGAGGATTCAAAAACAGCGAATCCAATCAGAATCTAAATCTGAATGCACCTCACCCCTCAATTTTCAAGATTGACCCTATAATTTGTAATTTCATGGGCTTCCGGTCTTCTCTACTTCGGCTCAGTGCAGAGTCCTTTAAGTAGAGACTCACAAGTGATAAACATCACACCCCGAGGAAACCTGAGCGTAGCCCGGCCTGCGAGTCGGAGCTCCCGAGGCAGAGTGCCGGCTGGGACTGGGAGGAGGCGTTACGACGACTCCTCTCCTCCCCAGGCCGCAACTCCCCCGCCCCCGCCAACTACTTCAGGCCTCTTAGAGCCTTTCTCTCGCCCGCCCGCCCTTGCTCGGGGTGTCGGAGCTGGGCGCAGCAGGCGGGCCCAGCGCTGACGGGCGGCGCCTCCGCAGCTAGAGGGAGGAGGGCGGGAAGGCGGGCGGGGGAGGAGGAGGAGGAGGCGGGGCCTACGCCGGGCGGTAGCTAGCGCCGAGCGCGGTGGGAGAGGAGAGGGTACCCGGCTGGCTCGCCTGGCGGCCTCTGCCCGGATCTCGGCGCCGCAGCCCTGCGCCTCTCCCGCCCTTGTCTCCGGCTCCGCGGCCCAGTTACAGCGGAGGTGGCGGAGCCGTGGGCCACCGGTAGGTTGCACGGGGACGGCGGTTCCGCCTGCAACCTTTTGTGCTGCAGAAAAAGGTGGTGGTGATGGGCGGGTGGGTTGGGGGGTGCCCCAGTCACCGAGCCCCGGTGCCAGCCCCAGTCGCGGCACCGCCCCTTCCTCCCTGCCTCGTGTCGGGGCCGGGCGCGCGGTGTCCGCGCGGTGCTGGGGAACCCTGGGCGGGCGGGCCTCCGGGATGGGCGGCGGGTCGGCCCCAGGGGCCCCGGGCCTCGGCGGGCTGGTCCTTGGGCGCCCGGGCAGGAGGCTGGGGTCTGGTGAACTGGGTGGGGCCCTTGCGGGGTGCGGGGAGCCCGCGGCTGCTTGGCACAGGGGTGGGGCCGGAGACGCCGTGAGTGTGCAGCGCGTGTGAGTGTGCGGGGGCGTGCGCCCCCGTGTGCGCGCGGCGTGCGCTCGCCGGGGAGGTGCGGGGACTCGGCGAGCCGGAGCGCCTCTCCCGCGGTGCGGCCGTGCGGAAGTCAGGGCGCGTTGGCGCGCACGCTAGTTCCTCCGCCGGCGTGCCCGCACCGCGGGGCAGCCGGCCTCGGGGCCCCATTGAGAAGTAGCTCTTTACTGGGCTGGCGGCGGCTCTGGCCGCGCGCCCCGGCCGCGCGCTGGGTGCGACTGCCCCGGCCAGATAGCGCCTGGGGCGAACCCTGACGGCCTTATCTCGTCGGTCCTCCTCGCCCGAGCTGCAGTCCGGGGGGTGAGGCCGCCCTCGAGCCCGCAGCCCGCGCCCGCTGCGCTTCTGCTGGTGCGGCGAGGGCGGACGGACCGGCAGTGCCCGGGGGCGCGCGTGTAGATTGGGGTCGGGTGCTGGCCAGAAGCGAAAGCGGCAGATTTGTCGTTGGGCATCTCCGCCCTCTCCCCACCTGTCGCGGGTGGACTTTGGGGCGGGTGGTAAGCAGAGGAAAGGGGTTTCCAGGCGGGCGGCAGCCAGACGTTGAGCAGGCGGCCCCATTGTGAAGCTGCCAAACTCTCTCTAGTGGTGGAATCTGCAAATCTGCCAGCGAGGCGATGGGAACATGAAGGGAATGATGGCCCCGTCCTTTTCCCCTTGCAAATGTTCCACATCCTTAGGGTCTTCCTGCTTCTCCGCCCACATCAGTTTGTACCCGGGTGGGTTAGTGGTCTGTGTCGAGCCAAGATGCTGAGAGGGTATGCGTATGGTTGTAGTGAACAGGTAAAACTGGGGCTGGGAACTTTCTAATCACTTGAGCAAGAATGGAGGCAGTAGCATTTTACTGCATGCTCACTACTCCTAGCCGAGAGAGCAATTCTTGCACAACATTTCTGACGTTAGGAGAACTCTTTATTTTACATTGTTTTTCTCAGATGAGCCACCCTACAATTTAGAGTTGTTAGTTGTTAGAGGAAGTTACACACTAAGGGAGATAGAAGTGATCTCTTCCGAAAGTTTATTTTTTCAGTGATTTCAAAATACAGTATTGGTTATTACTGCAGAAGCGTTTGGTACTTTATTAATTCAAGACCAAGATTTATGCTTACACAATTATGTTTAATGAATGTTTCACAGATTTCAGTGTTTCTGTGATGTAGCTATGTATGCATTATAAACTCAATAAAATGACCAGGATGAAATATTAGGATTGATGAGCCCGTAGACCTTTTGATTTGCTAGGAAAGGTGTATACAGTATGCTTCTGTCATTTTAGTAAATTGCAAGTGAGACTGTTTAATAGTGACTATTCTAGGACATAAGATATATGCGGTATTTATTGACCTTGCATAATAGCGAATTTGTTTACTTTGTATAATTTTGTATCCTTTGGAGAGCTCTTGTACACCCTTAAAAGTATTTAGTGTGATAGGAGTAACAAAACTTTACATACAGAGTTGAAATTTGCTTTGCTGTTGCTGATTTATTTATATCCTCTGGGGAAAAAAATCAGCTCTTTTCCTTCAGGGAGAACTCTCGATTCATCACCAGCCTATCAAAATAAGTTCCTGGATTTAAGCTTTCATGTGGAAGGTTAGCTAATTCCACCGTATGCACCTGTCCCATTTCGGTTATGCTTTCCTAAGAGGCAAATTTCTTGTAAAGACTGCTTGTAGATCTGCAGTTCCAGTTACTGTCAGTCATATTTGTAGTGAAAGCAGTTTTTTTTTTCTAAAAGTAGAAGAGTGACTTTACATAATAGTGAGACAACGTTGGTAATCTAGCTTTAATTTCTACTAACAGAAATAGAGGGAAAATGCATGCTGCACTTTCAGGGGGTTGCTATTAAAAGAACTGATACTAGGAAGAGAAACACATTTTTTTGTCTTACTGAACTGATTATGGGTTGTCTTACCCCCTTGGTGAGGTTTGTAAGATCAAGGATGGTTTCAGAAATGTCACACACAAACACTTCTTAAAAATTATTGATGATTTAGTTTTTATGAGTTACAAATGGAAAAGTGAGATTGGAGTAATCCCTACGAGGGGCACGTAGGGTAGGTACAGCTAAGCATTTTGTTCTTATTGTGTGTGTTGTACTAGCAGTTAAACCATTTTATTTCTGCTCCGTGTTCTATTACTTGAGAGATGTTTTGGTCCTTATCTTTTTTGTTTTTAGAGTAATCTTTGAGACTAGTGGTTGCAAAATATTTTCATTAATCTGAATGCAACTTTTAAAAATCTGCTTTTTAAAATTATTGATCTCTCCTCAAATAGCTACTCTGAGAAATACTGCCTGTTTCCTTTTTTTTTTTCTTTGTGTTTTGGGATCTAGAATTAGAACCCATAACTTCCACCATTTTTCTTTGCCTAAAATGTATCTTGTTTTCCATAGTATACTCTTTAATGATTAGTGGGCTTTATTTACCAAAATTCACAAGGGCTATTTGCTGGCCTTCATATTTATAACCATATGATTTGGAAGTGATAGATTTTAATTTTTTTCTTTAAAAAACAAAACAAAACTCTTTTAAAGTAGGCTTCACGGTAGAGCCCAACACAGGGCTTGAACCCACAACCCTGAGATCAGTACCTCAGCCGAAATTAAGAGACAGACCCTTAATTGACTGAGCCATCCAGGCGCCCCTGATTTTTTTTATTTTTAATTTTTTTTCTTCCAAATTTTTATTTAAATTCTAGTTAGTTAACATATAGTGTAATATTGGTTTCAGGAGTAGAATTTAGTAATTAATCACTTACATATAACACCCAGTGCTCATCATAACCAGTGTCTTCCTCAATACCCATCACCCATCTAGCCCATCCCCCACCCCCTCCCTCTGTCAAGCCTAGTTTGTTCTCTGTCCGTTAATTTTTTTTCTTATTGCTGTTTTGTTAGTAGATCTGTGCTGAAGTCTGATACTTATGGCTTTTTTATACATAGGGATTTTGTGTGGGCCTGAACATTTCGTGTGGAGCTTTCTGTATTTGGGGGGAAAAAACACTCCCTTCTCTGGGTTCCCAGTACCATTCAGGTTTACTGTTCTATGCATTAGATTTCCATGTCTGTCTGTCTTTCCTTCTCGCCTGGTCTCCGGCTTCACTTTTTGTATTTGCCCCAGTGCCTGTACAATGCTGGGATATAATAAGACTCAAGAAATATTGTTGAAGGACAGAAGGAGTAAATGAATAATTGAGTGGCTGAGTGGATACAACCAAAGAAATACTCCTCGGATCTGTATGGGAAGCCACCGTGCAAGCAGAAGGGTCTTTTTTCCTTCCTCCCCTCCCCACCCCCAGTCTTTTAATTCATTGCCTTTTCATTGTTAAATATTACTTTTGAGTAGGATAACCATGTAATTTCCAAACCGGGACACTTTGGAGAGATAAAGGGGGTGCTATAAATAATTATGCCGCATTACTGTCTGTGAACTGAGACATGTGGCCACCCTACTTTTGCAGGACATTCTTCTTTATTTACCTGTGTTGATATCTATCACCATGCCTGAGATATTTGACACGCTTCCTGGTTAATGTTTGCAAACTTTCCTATTTGCAGTAGCTTCATTTGCAGTCAAACATTGGGTGTCTTTTGCTTAGTCACTCATGGCTTCCCTATCCCGAGGCCTGCGGGAAGACCTTGGCCATGCTGACTTTTTCCTATTTTCATTGCTTCCAGGATAATGTCACGGGGTTTTCTGTTCGTTTCAGCTGTTTGTAGCTGGAAGCATTATGTATTCTAGCCTCTGCTCTTTTTACCTCAGTCTGTTTTTCTACATGGCATTTAGTCCATCTTGTAAGCATTTCACATGAGTTCTTTTCCTTCTTGCTGACTGTCTTTGAGAGGAGATCCGTTGATACCTTGCCAAGCCTTCATGGTAAAAACATTGGCCAGAATCAGCTGCAAGTGTTAAAGATTTATAGATTTTTAAAATATTCTAAAAATGCTATTTCTAAACATTTTTTAAAAAAGATTTTACTTATTTATTTGACAGAGACACAGCGAGAGAGGGAACACAAGCAGGGGGAGTGGGAGAGGGAGAAGCAGGCTTCCCGCTGAGCAGGGAGCCCGAGATGCAGGGCTTGATCCGAGGACCGTGGGATCATGACCTGAGCCAAAGGCAGATGCTTAATGACTGAGCCACCCAGGTGCCCCTAAAAATGCTATTTCAATCTAAAACTTTATTCTAGATTTGAAAGCAGCGGAACCTTAAAGTGATTGTCTACTCTTGCCCTGGAGCCGAAGTGGAAATTTAGGAAATGCTCGGTACTTTCATAGTAAACAAAATATATTAACTCATCATCCCTATTCTCCCAGTGTCTGTGGGCTTTGGAGTCAGACTTGTAGGGGTTCAGATTCTTGTTCTGACTCTCAAATAGTTATTACTTGATCGAATACTTTAAAATGGGGGTAATATTTTCCCCATGGAGTAGCTATAAAATGTAGCTTTTGGCATAGAGAAGGTGTTCAAAAATACTGGTTTCTTTTTATTAAAAATCCAGTTCTTTGGGAACTTTCATATTAAAATCTTAATTGTTTCTAGCAGGACATGGGGTAAAACCCATACTGTAATTTTTCTTCTTCTTCTTCTCTCTTTTTTTTTTTTTAAGCAAGATTCCTTTATAGGCAATCTCTTCAAGAAGATATATTCTTATACTACTCTCTGGTCTCGTTCTTTTAATTCTTCCTTTTTTTCAACATCTTTATCCTCTTCCTCTTAGCCTCTGTGCACAGATAGCAGGTGGTGACACACACAACAGTAAGCAGAGTCAGAAATGACTAAAAACTGAGACAGGGAATGGAGCTGCTGCACCTTGGTTTCGCCTGGGTGGCTCCCTTGGACTCTATGTTTGTGTTCTATTTTTGGCTTGGCACTGCTGTAATAGGGATAATCAGTTACTACACTTTGTTTACTATGAAATTACCGACCATTTTCTAGACTTCCACATCAGCTCCTGGGCAAGAGCTGGATAATTACTTTAAGGCTCTCTGTTTTCAAATCCAGAATGAAGTTTGGGGTTGATTTTTCTTTTGCTCTTGAAAAAAATGTTGGAAAATCTATTTTTTCAATGCATTCAAAAGTTTGAAAAGAAGCTCATATCACCAAATACGTAATACACATTACATGATAGCTTGAATGAGATTTTACAGTGTTTTCTTTTTTTTTTTTTTTAAAGATTTTTTTTATTTATTTGAGAGAGAGAATGAGATAGAGAGCATGAGAGGGGGGAGGGTCAGAGAGAGAGGCAGACTCCCTGCTGAGCAGGGAGCCCGACGTGGGACTCGATCCCGGGACTCCAGGATCATGACCTGAGCCGAAGGCAGTCGCTTAACCAACTGAGCCACCCAGGCGCCTCTACAGTGTTTTCTAAAACTAGTTTTTATTTAGAATTAAAACACATCCAGATTTTTCTAACGTTCCTGCTCCTGGGTTTTCTGTCTAAATTTCTAAAAGTCTAAATGAAATGTATCTCACTCCATGATAGAGGTAGCCCTGAAAAATGAAGTGGAAATCTCTCTCTCTATTTGGCATCCAACCATATAACCAGCTAGTTACTGGTTGACAACGTTTTTGTCCTCCCTTATAATTTATGATTTTCAAGTGTCTTTTATGCTTCTAGGAGAAAGGGTCCATGATGTAGACTGGCTTCGTACAGGACTCTGGTATGTGCTTTAACATCCTCGCATTTTCAAGTTGGAAATAACACTAGAACTAGTAGCTAAAACCACCTCCTTCTAATCATTTCACAAGTGAGGCAATAAAGCTTTAAAATAAAGTGCCTCCCCACACATTTGAAATAGAATTCCATTTACAGAAATTAATTTACATTTTTCAGGAACATGGTTATTGTGTAAAAAGCTGTCCATCCGGGCTTATGACTGAACAGAGGCCACATGTATATAAAGCAAAGCCAGTGGGCTTCGGAGTCAGAAAACTGGGGTTCAAGTTCCCGCCTGACTCTCAAATAGCATTGCTTGATGGAATACTTTACAAGGGAGGTGATACCTCCTCGTGGAGTAGTGGTTAAGATGAAGTGATAGAAATGGCGCGTAGCTTTGGCGTACAGAAGGTGCTCAAAAATATGAGTTTCTTCTTAAATTTCCCTTCCCCACTAAAAATCCATTTACTTGAATAGGAAATCAACTTAAACTTTATAACAATAGTATTGGGGACATTTTGAGGGGTGGTTATAGTAAATAAAAAACGTATTGTCGGGCAAGAGCTTTTGCTGCGTTACAGTTCACTCTATGTAAAAACCAGAGGCTTCCCTGGTGGAGGAGAACCGAGTCTTCCTTCTGTAGTGTCTTGGTTCCCCGGTCTGGACCCAGTGTGTGGCTGAAGCAGCGAAGGGGAGCATCGCGTGTCTGTTTCCTAAATCTGTGGAAGTTCCAAAGGCCGATACCCATGGGAGCTTCTCAGGATGACAGACCGGTCTTGGTGCAGTCACTCCTTCCGGGTTCTGAAGTCCAAGAGGCAGATCCCTTTAACTCAGTAACTATCCATTTCCTTTGGATGGAACTCTTCAGCAGTGGTAAGGAAAGTAGTAAAGTGACAGAGTCCTTGCCTTCTCCCTTGCTGTTCGCACTGGCCGTGAGGGCGTGTTTTCTCTGTAGCCGCTCTTGGGCGCCCTGTGCACCTGTGTTGGTGAGAGGAATCCACTCAGCTCACTTGAGGCTCCCTGGCCCCCGGTTAAGCACAGCCACAGAAACCCAACCACCAAAGAAATCTTTACAGGTGGACGGGACTTTGGAAGTTTCCTTGACTTCAAGAAATTAACCTAATTAACAAGGAAGGTAGGAGATAAAGATAGATTCCCACACATTACCTCCTCAGGTAAGGGGAAGGCCTAGAGGAGATGCTCGAAACCTTAAGCAATGTGATAACTCTAAAGAAGTGTTGTTCTCTTAAAAAAAAAAAAAAAAAAGTTTTCCAAGGCCTTTCCAGTCATATGCCGCAGAGCAGTCTTATGAAGGATTTTTATTGTTGCTATTTTATGGCTAAGATGAGCAGACACCAAAAATTAATTGCACAATAATAACATCACACATCTCTAAAGGGCTTTACAACGCGCAGAACACGTTCCCCTGCCTCATCTCATTTGATCCACATAACAACTGTATGAGGGAGGAAGAACGATATGGTCCTCATTTTAAATATTGCTCTTTATGCAAGGTCAGGAGTCAGAGTTCTTAGCAAGGCCATAGCTAGGACCTCTTCTTTTGATCCTGGCCTCATCATTATTTTTTTCATAGAATATTGGGAATCTCTTGAGTACATGAAGAAGACTAGGTTGGTGGAACCAACATTTAAACCCCCAAATTTGTGTGTCTCTTTATTTAGTCCAGTTAGCTGCTCTTAGTCTCGAGGTAGAATTTCAGCAGCAGAATACAGAGGAACAAACATGACAAAATGTTTGAAGTTTAATTTAGCTGAACAAAGTCAAATTGCTTTAATTAAATGACTTAATATTATATCCTCTATAACTTGTACCTGATGTTAGTACCTCCTGCTAGTTTCATCCTGTGTTGCAGTTAGAATTGTTAAAATTGCTTTATAAGTTGTGTTACTTGTTAAATTAAAGGTTTATTTTTATATTCCATGTTTAGTATCTGGCGTAGAGCAGAAAAAATATTATGCCTGTGTTCTCTTGGGACTCATTGGACATTGTACAGTGACATCTTCTGGGATTTAGTCTGGTGAGTTATATTTTGCTTTTTCTCTCTGTTAACCCGTTGTATGAACATAATATCATCATGTGTTTTAAGGACTACATAAACAGATGAATGTGGAATGTCGAGATATTATTGCAAACATGTATACTACAGTAATGAAATTTTTAATGATGGGAACTGAAATTATTGTTGCAGATTGCTAACATTATTATCTTGAAGTGTTTGCCTTACTGATTTGAGTGGGGTTTTTCCTTATTCCTGTGAGATAAAGGACGTTTTAAGGAATAATATTTCAGGATAGAGTAGTTAGGAGGTAGTTGCTCTAATTTCAGGGGAATTTTAGTAAAACATTAATCCCTAGAGATTGGCAAAATAATTTGCACAAAGTTCTAGTTGTATGTTATCATCCATAAAGAATGGCCAACAGGTGACTGAAAGGAGCGTCAGTTTCACTTGGTTATATAGCAGTTCACTTTTATTACCCCGTGAATTTAAACTTGTTAAAATGCTGCAGTGCTGTTGTCTTTTCCTTCTCTTTTTTCAGTGTGTCATCTGTTGCATCTATGCTAACACAGTTATTCATGTGACTCCATGTGTTTGAAGGTGAAAAAAATTTCATAATTATCTTTGTAGCTTTTTAGCATTTGAAAAAGTACATTAGTGTGACTTCTTGCTTTGGTATCTCATTCTACTTGAGCAGTGTCTTTGTAAGTCCTTGCTTTGAATTTGGGTGGTCAGAATCCTTGGGGGGAAAATCCTTGGGGAAAAAAAATTCTGGAAAAACTTCTGGTTTCATAATAAGTGATCTCCAAATTAGCAGTCAGCAGCAGAATAATTCAAATGAATGATGGGGAAAACCAGGTACTTCTATTTCATTAGGTAGATACAGCGTATCAGATTTATGACAATGCATTTTAAAACATTGAGAAAATGGAAACATTACTAAGTTTTCAGTTTTGAGGAAAAAAGCAAGACGTTTGAAAGCTCTAAGTACAAAATACTTGTAGAGGATATTGAGTAAGAAATAATACGGCTGAGTCAGTAAGTAACTCATCTAATTTAAATAAAGCACAAAACTAGGAGCAGTGAGTGGAAGTTACAGGAATGTGTGTGCGCGTCTGTGTGTATCTTTCTCTTCAGATGCATATGTGTATATGTGGGTGTGTATACATAATTATGTATGTAATACAGGGACAGTCTAGCACAGCTACAAAGGTGAAATGAACCAACTCGAGAGGTAGTGAGTTACCTGTCATTGGAGGTGTTCAAACATAGACTGAACAACCATTAGGATTCCTTCTGATTCTGAGATTAGATAATTTAAAGAATTTTAAAATTAGGAGGATGGTCAAAAACTTGGAAGTATGTGACAGGCTTCTTTTATTTTAATTTTATTATTTTTTTTATTTTTAAAGTCAGACTTCAAATTGAAGTATAATTTGTATATAGTAAAAATCACCCTTTTGTATAGTTTGATGAGTTTTGACAAATGTATTCAGCTGTGGAATGCCCATTACAGTCAACATATAGACCATTTTAGTCACCCCCCAAGATTCCCTGTGCCCCTTTGTAGTTTTGTCCCCTCCTCCCAACCCTGACCTTTTGCAGTCCTTGATTGATTACTGTCCCATTAGTTTTCCAGAATGTCTTATAAATAGAATCACACATATGTAGCATTTTCTATCTGCTGCTTTCTTTCTTTTAATCCTAGTTTGCTCCTTTCTGTTGCTGGATGGTATTCCATTGTATGGATGGAGCACGGTTTCTTTCTCCATTTCCCTGTTGATGGACATTTACGGATTGTTTCCAGGTTTTGGTGATTATGAATAAAACTGTTAAAAACATTCATGTTCAGGTCTTTGTGTGAACATACATTTTCATTTTTCCTAGGTAAATACCTTCCAGTAGGGTAGGTGGGTTGTTTAATAAACATTTATTTAACTGTGTAAGTAATTGCCAAACTGTTTTCCAAAGGGCTTTACCTGGCACGCTTCAAAGAAGCTAAAGTAACTGTAGCAAAGTGTGTGCAGAGGAAGGGGCCTGATTCTCATTCAGCACAGATTTATTTTTATTTTATATCCAGTTTTAACAAATCTGATTAGCACATACTTTTTAAGCCCACAATGGATTAGAAACAGTAAGTTAAAAGGTGTTAGGGATAGGTTGTTAGCAATTTGAAGCAGCCAAAAATGTATCCACTAATGGGACAGTAATCACTGATCTAAAACAAAACGAAACAAAAAGCAGGGACTTAGAGGAGTGAAATTCTTTTATCTGATAAGTTCTGTCTGACAAGTTCCCAGACATGTCTGCAGAGTAGAATCTCCTGGAGATCTTTTGAAAATTTCAGAGCCTAGGCTGTGCCTCAGATGACTTAAACCACAGACCTGGGTAGAGCACAGGCCTCCATAGGTTTTGAAGCTCCTTGGATGCTGCTCGCCGGTATACAAGTTGAGGAGCTGTGTGCCCCAAGCACAGCATGATGAGGTTGCGGGCGTCCGGAAACCCAGCACTGCCTGCCCCACCCTGGGCAAGCCCCTGCCTTCATGGCTTCAGTGCCCTCTTCTTCATAATCAGAAGCTCTGCAGAGGTGAAATCCAAGATGATGCTGGCATTGAAACTAGATGGTTCTAGATATTACTAGACTGACAGTAGTCAAGCTTGGGAGACTCCATTTGCCAAGAGCCGGCTTTATTCCAAATGGATCATTTCTTGAAAAGGATTTTGTTCACATGGTGACATTTTTGTTCTGTATATTTAGACAGTTATATATGTTTTCTCTTAAATGGAATTGCTGTGTGTTACTAAAAACGGTACAAGCATATGGAACAATTTTTTTGATTACTGATGGTGACTTTTTTTTTTTCGATAAGCCTGATTAAAAAAAATATTCCCAGAATGCAGTCCTTCTTAAAAAGAATTCTTTGTAAGGCAGTTGTGAAACTTCTCAGCTATTTTCAGAGCTGGTCTGAGGAGCTGAGGCACCTCAGTCATATCTTTTAAATGCCCCTTGTGCCAAATGCTTGGGAGGTTTGACCTCTTGGGGAGTGTTCAGAACTGAGCAGATTTTACCCAGGTGACGGTCTTTTGAGTGCGCTCATCTCGGTGTACCAGGGTCCCCTACACGTGTGTTGTAGTTTGGACCTGTTGGCCTTAGTTCCAGCCAGAATTCATAATTGCATGCCATACCCCATGTTTTTAAAATATACGCTCTGTACATTTTTCTAGCAGATATTGAGGTGTTACCTTGTCTGTAGTCTTCTTGAGTTTTGAATCCTCCCATATTTCAAAGAAGTATGGTGGCCCCTATGAACACTGTCAGGTCTTTCATGTTTTGTAAGTTTATGTCAGTACCTTTGTTACAGATTAGATTGTGAAGGAATTTGATAGTGAAGACCCTTAGGTGCCATTACAAAGAATTATATATGTTCCTGGAACTTGTTTAGGAAACTCGGTTTTAAAAGTATTAGTCAACTACAAGTTGACTTTTCTATTCTCTTCTGTATTTTTTGTTCTAGACTCTTCTGTCAACAGAAATGTTGCTGCTTCTGTTATTATAATAACAATACTTCTTCTGTTTTCTGTTTCCGGTTTTTATTTTTGCTTTAAACTACATATGAAAAACATTAATGGAACCAATAAGGATGTCGTTGCTTTGTGATTTCTAGCGTTTAGCAGTGCAGAAGTTAGCATCGTGCCTAGTTTCCCGGTTCATGTTTATTCTTATTGATGCGGTGGGAGTGGGTGCCTGTTGCACATACCTGCGGTATTTGTAAGAGTTCTTTGTAATCTTTTATCTTGGCAGTATGCATTTATGAGGCACGGTTTATTTCAGGATAGGAAACAAAACGCTTTGTCACGAATGGTTTGTTAAGAATAATAAACCTATAGGGCACCTGGGTGGCCCAGTCGTTAAGCGTCTGCCTTCGGCTCGGGTCATGATCCCAGGGTCCTGGGATGGAGCCCCACGTCGGGCTCCCTGCTCCGCGGGAAGCCTGCTTCTCTCTCTCCCTCTCCCACTTCCCCTGCTTGTGTTCCCGCTCTCCCTCTCTTTCTGTCAAATAAATAAATAAAATCTTAAAAAAAAAAAAAAAGAATAATAAACCTATAAGCAGATTTTTCATGGTAAAATATAAAGAATATTCTACCAGGCACAGGCCATCTCCAGTTGTAGTCATGGTAGCCGTGTTTCCTGGTCAGTGCTTTTATTTATTTTTTATTTATTTATTTTTTTAGAGAGCGAGTGAGTGGGGTTGGGGGGCTGTTGAGGGCAGAGGGGGAGAGAATCTTAAAGCAGATGCCATGCCCAGCATGGAGCCCGACACGGGGCTCGATCCCACAACCCTGAGATCATGACCTTAGCCAAAATCAAGAGTCACTTAACTGACTGAGCCACCCATGCGTCCCTGGATCTAGAGCTTTTAGTAAGAAATTTTGGCGTGTGAGATACTGTACCTCCATCTCTAGCATCACTGTTTTCTTTTTTGCTAGAATTGCAGAATTAGAAAGTAGCTTGACTTCTTCAGATATGTTCCTATACTACTTCTGCTCATTTAAGAGGTCGTCTGGGGAAGTTGATCCTGTCACTGCTCCCAGAGTTTTTTTTTTTTGTTTTTTTTTTTAAAGATTTTATTTATTTATTTGAGAGAGAGAGAGTGAGAGACAGAGAGCATGAGAGGGAGGAGGTTCAGAGGGAGAAGCAGGCTTCCCGCGGAGCAGGGAGCCCGACGCGGGACTCGATCCTGGGACTCCGGGATTATGACCTGAGCCAAAGGCAGTCGCTTAACCAACTGAGCCACCCAGGCACCCCTGCTCCCAGAGTTTTGCTCCAGTATTAAATCCAGTCAGGAAATTCTCAGGAATTTAATAGCAGAAGAAGTTTGCTTTTGGTCACATTGAAGAGTGGAGGACATACTGCTTAGTCAGCATTCCACCTAGCTAAAAACAAAATATTTGCCAGTCTGTGTTCTCTTTTCTGAAAGGCGGCCACCACCTAGCTTTCTCAGTGGTGCACACTATCAGGTGCTCTTTAGAAGGGCAATATATAAGTAAAGAGTTTTAAAAAAATCTAAGCAGTTTGTAAGAGTCAGGTTGTTGCACCCTTGACGTTCCTACACGAATATCAAGATCTGAAGATGTTCTCGTACATTTGACACTGAAGAAACCAATTGAAACCACCTCACAGAGCTGTTAGTTTTGAGACTGTCTTACTGTTTGGAGCAGAAGTACTGATGTTTTTGTAGCTAAAACATGCAAGCAGTTTTCCAGAATTTACAGTTGTTTATCAGAAGTGCAGTAGGTTGCAGCTACATATGTAATATTTAAGACAAGCGTTTTTATGGACGCCTGGGTGGCTCAGTCGGTTGAGCGACTGCCTTCGGCTCAGGTCATGATCCCAGGGTCCTGGGATCGAGTCCC